GCCGAAGTCGGACACTCAACTGACTGAGCCACCCAGGCACCCCGCGTCTGATTCTTGATTTCAGCTCAGGTCATGATCTTACGACTCATGAGTTCCAGCCCCACCCTGGGCTCTGTGCTGACAGTGTGGAGTCTGCTTGGGATTCTGTCTGCCCCTACCCCACCCACACTCTGTCTGTGTCTCAAAAATGAGTAAACAAACACTTAAAAATAAATAAATAAGATGCACTGCGCCTTGCAGGGTTCAGACACTTTGTTTTAAAGCCATTAACAAAGAAGAGTATAACTATACAGCCACTCTTGTTCTCAATGTTCTACACTGAATTTACTTAGGCTCAAGTTGTTTGTTTTTTTTTTTTTTTTAACGTTTATTTATTTTTGAGAGAGAGAGCACGAGAGGAGATGGGAGGAGATGGCAAAGAGAGGGAGACAGAATCTGAAGCAGGCTCTAGGCTCTGAGCTGTCAGCACAGAGCCCGACGCGGGGCTCAAACTCACGGACTGCGGGATCATGACCTGAGCCCGAAGTCAGACGTTCAACCACCTGAGCCACCCAGGCGCCCTGACGCTGAATTTACTTACACACGCAAACTTCTTTTTTTTTTTTTTCTTTTTTCAGTTTTTATTTATTTTTGGGACAGAGAGAGACAGAGCATGAACGGGGGAGGGGCAGAGAGAGAGGGAGACACAGAATCGGAAATAGGCTCCAGGCTCCGAGCCATCAGCCCAGAGCATGACGCGGGGCTCGAACTCACGGACCGCGAGATCATGACCTGGCTGAAGTTGGACACTTAACCGACTGCGCCACCCAGGCGCCCCTACACACGCAAACTTCTAATTGCTTGAGAATGAACAGTGATCAAAGCCAGAGCATAGCCATTTCCGCGAGGGGCCCTGGGGCCAATCCCCAAGCACCGTTTGGGCTGTTGTCGGCAAACCCACGGAAGACGAAACCCTACGAGCGCCGCTAAGGAGAGTTTGTGTGTGAGTCAGGTCCTCCCGGTTTCTGAAAAGACCCGGATTGAATGCCCGCTATTCCAGAGCTGGCCTTCACCCAGACCATGCATATGTACATGTGTGTCTTCGTGTGTGCGGACGTGGACGTGGACGGATGTGCACGTAGGTCGTAAATCAAACCTGAGCCTCCCTCGTCAGTCCACAGGCTCTTGCTGTGTTCTGTAACTTTCCGATTGTGTGGCTCGCTGTTGTCTAGAGCCTCGAGGAAAGTCGCAGGTGTGCCGTAAAAGCGGGAAGGGAGAAGTCGCGCTGGCTTGGCGGGGACCTGCGCGCGGTGCCGCTGGGGCCGAGGGGCCGCTTCAGGCCCCCGTCCCGGTGTCTTCCAGGCGTGGGCGTCCAGTGGCGAAACCTCCTGAGTCCCGTCAACGTGGACGATGACTTCTCCTTTGGGCAAGTGCTGGGCATGCTACTGCTGGACTCCGTGCTCTACGGCCTGGTGACCTGGTACGTGGAGGCCGTGTTCCCGGGGCAGTTCGGCGTGCCCCAGCCCTGGTACTTCTTCGTCACGGTGAGTGCTGGCGGCCCTCTTCCGCACGGGGGCAGGGGTGTCCCCCGCACACGCCCCGGGCCCCTCCGGTCCCTGGCACTCAACGCCTCGTCGGGCATGTCCCGCGTGCAGTCAGGGAGCCGTGTGTCCCAAAGGCCCTGAGACCCCCTACAGGCCAAGATGAGCCCTGCAGTCCAGGATCTGGAAAGGGCTCGCCCTGGCCCTGCAGCACGGGACCGGCACACGCCCACCCCCGGCCTCACGTCAAACAAATATCCCACTGGTTCCTCCGCCTACCAAGTAACACAGCTTCCAGCCTCTTGTAAAAATGATCGCGTTGCTGGGATTCCCGGCACAGTCCCACCGCCCAGAGACGAGCCGTGCTGACCCCTTGGTGTGCAGTGGTTCAGACTGTTCTGAGCACGTACCCTCCGGCAGCCTGAGCCTGTGGGTGCGTGATATACGCACACTTGCTTTTACGAAAAGGGGACCATGTTGTACAAGTCTTGCAACTTGTTTGGGGTGGTTTTTTTGTTTATTTAAGTTTATTTTACTTTGAGAGAGAGACTGTGTGTGTATGTGTGGGAGGGGCAGAGAGAGAGAGAGAGAGAGAGAGAGAGAGAGAGAGAGAATCCCAAGCAGACTCCGCGCTGTCAGCTCAGAACCCAACACGTGGCTCGAACTCACCAACCACAAGATCATGACCTGAGCCAAAACCAAGAGTCAGACACTTAACTGACTGAGCCACCCAGGCACCCTGAAGCTTTTTTTTTTTAACCTAACTTAGCTATCTTGAATACAAATGTGTGTGCATCTGTGTATAAACATACTTTTAGATACCTGTGCATAATTATAAGTTTTGTTTTCATCTTTGAACTAAGTATCTGCATTTTCAGGAATCACCTTCGTTTTTGAGCACAACACCGCGTGGGGCCACCACCATGTGGTCCATCAGTTCCTGCTGCTGGCGGGTGAGGTGCCACCTGAGTGTCCCCTCTCTGGTTCCACACATACTCACCATGAAGACACTGGAGTGTTTCATCACATCTAAGGTGCCCCTGATCCATAGGGGCACTGTCACTTTCTCACCAAGACAAATGGTGACAGTTAACTGTGGCACTCCGTGATCTGTGACACACTCTGATTTCAGAGCCCTGTAAAACGTGAGAAGTGTGTCCCTTAAGACCAACAGGCTGGGGGGGGCCTGGGTGGGTCAGTCAGTTAAGCGTCCAACTTCAGCTCAGGTCACGATCTCACGGTCTGTGAGTTCGAGCCCCGCGTCGGGCTCTGGGCTGATGGCTCAGAGCCTGGAGCCTGCTTCCGATTCTGTGTCTCCCTCTCTCTCTGCCCCTGCCCCATTCATGCTCTGTCTCTCTCTGTCTCAAAAATAAATAAACGTTAAAAAAAATTAAAAAAAAAAAAAAGACCAACAGGCTGGGGACACCCGGGTGGTTCAGTCACTTAAGCATCCGACTCCTGATTTCGGCTCAGGTCATGATCTCACAGTTTGTGGGTTCGAGCCCCACCTTGGGCTCTGCACTGACACCTTGGAGCCTGTTTGAGATTCTTTGTCTCCCTCTCTCTCACTCTGCCCTTCATGCTTGTGCACATGCATGCACTCTCTCTTTCCCTCTCTCTCAAACAACAACAAACATTAAAAAAAAGACCAACAGGCCGTGGTGTGCTAGAACCATTCCAGGCATGGGAAGTACCAAGAACGGAGATGGGGGTGCCCCTGTGGGGCTTAACTGGGGGCGGCTCTCCCAGGGCCCGGTTCTTCCCTTTCCTGTGACCCTCCCCACACCTGTGTGTCATCTGTGCCCATGGACCACCCAAGGGCAGGGGTTCTGCATGGCCTGTGGCTGTATTCTTACGCATCCCACAGCCTGGCATTGTTGTGGCTAGACAGAGGGCAGGGTTCCTTGTCTAGACTGAGGGCATGGTTTTTTATCTAGACAGAAGGCAGGGGTCATTGTCTAGATGGAAGGTGGGGGTCATTGTCTAGATAGAAGGCGGGGGTTGTTGTCTAGACAGAGGGCAGGAGTTGTCTAGACAGATGGTGGTGGTCATTGTCTAGACAGAGGGCAGGGGTCATTGTCTTGATGGACGATGGGGGTCGTTGTCTAGACAGATGGCGAGGCTCATTGTCTAGATAGAAGGCGGGGGTCGTTGTCTATACAGATGGCAGGGGTCATTGTCTACATGGAGAGTGGGGGTCATTGTCTATACAGATGGCAGGGGTTATTGTCTAGATGGAAGGCAGGGGTTGTTGTCTAGACATTGGGCAGGGATTTTCTAGACAGATGGCTGTGGTCCTTGTCTAGACAGAGGGCGGGGAAGCTTCCTCATAGCAAGGGAAGGCCAGGCCTTTTGGCTCCTCTTGCTTATTTTGTGAGCTCCTGTGTAGCTGAGTGAGGGCCAGTCAGGCGTGGAGACACAGCCTCCCTCCTGTTTTGCCCGGACAGTGCCCTGGACTGGAACATTCAGCAGCCTGTCTTTGGTTTAAAGGTCCTCATTTACTTTTCATCTGTGTCACATGTGAGTTGTCTGCACCACCAACAAGCCTGTCAGGGATTGTGTGCCCAAATGGCGGGTCAGGAAAGAGGCTCAGAGCCTCCCCAGGTAGATGAGGGAGGAGCCGCGGGCACCCGCGCCCCACAGAGGCCTCGGGCCGCCCCACCTCTGCAGCAGGGCCCCGGGCGAGGGCTGTTTGCTGACAGTGTTTGGCGTGTCGGGGAACCTGATGCCATTCCTCACAAACACAATGAACTGACACGAGTTGGCTGCTTGAGACCCATCTGCTTTCCACCCCAGCCCTCGTACTGGTGCGGGCACCCACGGACAGTTTTGGGGAAAGAAGAGGAAGATGATGATCCAGAGAAAGTGCTCAGAACCGAGTACTTTGAGGCTGAGCCAGAGGACCTGGTGGCCGGGATCAAGATCAAGCATGTGACCAAGGTGCCGCCCCCTGTGGGGTGGGTGGGGATGGGGACCTCATGCCACGGGGCATGAGACCTGCCACCTTGCCCAGGGCTGTCTCCAAGCTGGGGGCCATCCCCCAGGCCCTGTTGCTCCTAGACCCCCGTGGCTGCTCTCTGACCCCTCCCCAGGCTCTGTCCCCAGGGCTCAGGTGACTCAGGGGAGCCAGCAGTGCATGCTGCCTGGGCTAACCCCGGAGTCAGCCCTGCCCCCAAACACTTGCTGGTCCACTGAAGCGGGACAGACATCACCCGGGGCGGGGGTAGGGGGAGGCATGGCCTCCAATCAGCACTTCGCCAGAAATTTCCCGCCTCTGCACTGACCGGCCACGCTGGGCAATGTCTCCTGAGACCCGTCGGGCAGGTGTTCCAGCGGGGGCTGGGGGCCAGGCAGGGCCTGAAGTCCAGGGCTGCCCTCGGCCTTTGCTGCAGGTGTTCAGAGTGGGGAACAAGGGCAAAGCAGCCGTCAGAGACCTGAATCTGAACCTGTACGAGGGGCAGATCACGGTGCTGCTGGGCCACAACGGCGCGGGGAAGACCACCACCCTCTCCATGCTCACAGGTGAGGCGCCATGGCCTCGGCTCCGGCCGGCCGGTCAGCGGTCCGGCCAGACAACGGTCACACCTCGTGCTGACGGGGGTGGGGAGAGGGTCCGGTGTTCCCGCTGAACTTCGGCCTCCGGGTCTTCTGCTTGGCCCTAGGTCTCTTTCCCCCAACCAGCGGCCGGGCGTATATCAACGGGTACGAGATTTCACAGGACATGGTTCAGATCCGCAAGAGCTTGGGCCTGTGCCCGCAGCACGACATCCTGTTTGACAACCTGACCGTCGCAGAACACCTGTACTTCTACGCACAGGTGAGCCGGCCGCTGAGTGCGCTTAGGTCGTGTAGTGGCTTCCTTGTCTGCGAGCTTGGGCCCCAAGGCGTGAACCCCCAGCTTCCCAGCAAATAGAACCCACCTGGAGCAGCCGCTCGCAGACCTGCAGCGGGGCGGCGGGGAGGGAAGTCAGGGCACGCGGCGCAGCACGCGGAGGGAAGGAGGAGGCGCCAAGCCCGGGAGCCCCTGCCCGACGTCCCTGCCCCTGCTGTCTCAGCTGAAGGGCCTGTCCCGCCTCAAGTGCCCCGAAGAGGTCCAGCGGATG